GGGTAGGCTTAGCTCGCTTCTCCTTAGGTGATCCACTTCAGGAGGGGCCCCTCTTCCTTGGGCCTCTCGTCTGCGCTTGGCTCCCGAGACTCCGTTCTGCTAATCCTCTGGTGGTTTTCTGGGTTATTTAGGCAGGTGTAGGTGGAATCTAAGTGATCAGCAGGACATGCGCTGAGCCCAGCGTCCTCCTACACCGCCATCTTCCTCAATCCTCAGGAGAGGGTATTAATTGAATATTGAGAGATGTAAAGAGAATATTTGGAATCTGAGAATTGCTCTTGACTGTTTCATATATCAGAACATTGAACTGGTCTCATTATGTTTTAAAGATATCAACCATCTTTCTTGGGTCTTTTAATTGTGATGGGATCTGGTACAAGGATTGCAAGCTGTGGAATTCAGATATATATTAAACACTTCCAACCCCCCCCCCCCCAAGGGTTGATTTACATTCCTTTATTTACATTCCTTCCATTCAATTATGTGCCATTTCAGTAGAAATATTGCCAAATTGGGGTAGGATATTAGACTACATATTTGCCTATACTGGTGATTATAGGGTATGGAGGTTAGGTCCTATACCTATCCACTACATTTCAGTTAGTTAGACCTTCCAAATCAAGGTAGATCTTCCAAAGATCTGAGGTAACACAACATCAATGTTAGGAAAATACCTTAAAATTTTTCTAGGTAAATATTAACTTGCTTAGTTTGATTACATATAGACTAGTGTAGATTATACATAGCCTGATCCAACAGTGCTAACTTGATTGAACCCAGTCTAGCAAAAAAACAAAGACAATGCAATATGAGTGGGGAAAGGGCAGAGAAGCAGGAAAAGAATCCTAAGCAAGCCTACACCCAGCACCAAGTCCGATGTGAGGCTACATCTCACAACTGTGAGATCGTGACGTTAAATGAAATCAGGAGTTGGACACTTAACTGACTGAGCCACCCATGTGCCTCTGATTTATTTATTTTTTTTGAATTGAGGAAGAAACTGTTATTTAAACTCATGGATTAGAAAATTCTTTAACAAGCATAGGTCACAATTCCAGCTGCTATGGATGCTTAACAATAAAAGAAGCAGGCATCTGTTCTCAGATGTGTAAAGAATGAAATGTTCATTTCTTTACTTAGTATAATTTTTTTTTGGTGTTATTCTATAGAGTAAAACTGTCCAAGCTCACTAATATTTGGGGAGAGGAATCATGGCTCCCTTTCCCTGGAGAAAGATCTTTATATCTTTAATAGTTTTTGTCCCTTAAGTAGCAGTACTAAAGTTTTCATACATTTTTTATGGTCATGTTGAATCATGAAGGATTAACATTATTAAGGATTCTATATTTTGCTTTTAATTAAATCCATTGTTATGCCCTCTATTAAATGTGGAAATGAAAAAAGTTTATCACTAGTAAAAAATCTAAGATGTTTCATTGCTTTAAAAAATCTAAAATACTCCTTTTGGTATAAATATAATTATTTGGGGATTAAAAATATTACATGATTGTTTATCTGAATTAACTTTTGGCTCTTATAGTGCATTTAAAAATAAATTGCATTATAACAGAGTAACTTTGAAACATAAAAGGGGAATTAAATGAATGAAGATAAAAACAAGTGTAATTTAAATGTTACTTCTTAGGAAAAATTTATGTAGAATGGTGGTTTACAATAATTGTTGACATATTCCCCTAAGTACTGTGTCTGTGATTTTTCATGGTATCAATCATTTAAAGCAATTTAGGTAATAACATTCTGACATGCATTTCTGCTATTTTATTTACACCATTTGCCTACATCATTGTAATGCAGTACCTTTCTGATTTGGTACAGTAAATGCACTCTGTAATATCTATTATGGCATGGTCAAAGGATAATTTATTGTCAAATAGAAAAATAGGTCAACACTAATGTCACTTGATGATCAACCCTCCCCCCCCCCAAGTTTAATAAAACATCTCACCAGTATGCATTCCAGTGCAGTGGTTGATATTTTATTAGGACTACCTGGCTATAGCAGTAGTGTAATTACTGAGCTGTCAGAGTGATAAGTGGGATTAATGGCAGCCCGATGCACTTTAGTCTGCAGAGCGCTTAGAGAATTGCAAGATGGTATTATTATCAGAGTCTGCCCATTCTGGCATATTCATGGCACCAAAGAAAAAAAGAATGCTACAATTCAGGTTTGCATTGCCCTGCCTCATTAACATCTGACATTTCCAACAGCTGTTATTTGTGAACTAGCTCAATAATAAAAAGGGAATTATTTGGTAAAGAGGCTTAATAACCACAACTAAAAATCCTTACATTGTCAGTGCTGTTAAGTGAATCTGTTTATGTTGAATTTAAGATTTCTCTAGAAGAACAGGACAATACACTGTGCATTAATTTGGCTCATTCATACCTGCTGACATTATAACTTTATATTTTAATTGCCTTATTATTCAGGTTGGGTATTAGAAAAAAGAAAGGTAGGAAACTTGTGAGTTCATTAGGGATAAGCAGAATCTATATGACATAAATGATATGTATACACATGTACACAGACATATATATATACACACATATACACATATGAAACAAATAAGTACATTTGTTGCTTTATTCCTGTGAATTGCCAGATATTTTTAAAACTGTTGAAATGACTTTTTTTATAAATTAGAAGATACTTAAGATGGCATATTATTTGCCAAATTTCTAGCTATTTTATTTTACTACATAATAGGAGATCCTTTCAAACCACTAATAATGCTCAACATATTTATCCATGTGAAGATAACACATAAAGTATCACCTCATTTCAACATCATAGACCAAATAGACCATGTATTATGCTCTGTTTGCATTGTTTTGCAATGTATGCTGCTGATTACACTTGCAAGAAGTTCTTTTTGAACTCAGTGACAGTGTTTAAGGGAAAAAAATCATAAGTATGAGAAGATAGGAATTCAACTAAATGATAAATGTGAATCTAACAATGGCATTTAGAGAAATGATAGGGGAGAGGTTTAATGACTACATTTCAGAGAAGACAATTGATTATGAAAAGCCTTTGGTACTCATTGTGTAAAATTTAATTTAGAGAGAAGGCTAAGGGCACAAACCAGAGAAAAGAGATCAGATTTAAAAACAAGATATTAATTAGGTGCTGAGAAATTGGTTCAGACAATGAAGAGAACTCTCCTACTCACAAAAGAATGACAAGGAGACCAGTATTGTTTTCTCAAAGGAAATGAACCAAGGTCTTTACACATGGAAGTAGATAGAAAATGAGCTAGCTAGTCACCTTTGTCATCAAGCAGTGTAGGATTCATTCTCAATGAAATTCTTGGAGAATTCTGGACTTCTTACAAGAGTGATAGTGGTGTATCTTAAGTTTCAGATCTCCAGCCTGATTCTTCTCTACTCCTGATCTCACTGTGTGACAGACCAGACTGCATTAGTTTATGTACCTTGTACTTTTCTCCAGACCTGGGTACATATTGACTTATTCTCTTGAATGACCTTACACTCCAAATCCCACCCTTTTCCTCTTCCCTAATGCCCACTCATTCTTCAGTCCTCCTTTTGAGTGTTACTCCTCCCAATCAGCTTTCCCTGACTCTCTGCCTCCAGTACTACAGTTCCTCTGATATCCTCCCTGAGCATGCTATTTTCACCCAAATTCACATTGACAACTACAGTTGCCTTTTATATGTGTGAACTTCCTCCAAATCGCAAGGTGCATGAGAGTAGGACCATTGTGGTCATCAATTTTATATCCTCATATTCAAGGTTCTGACATGTAACAGGGACTGATTAGATTTTTATTAAGTGAATGAATAAATGAATGAATAACACACATTAATGTGCAAATTAAGGACCATTCTAGCCCGTGGTTTCAGTCCTGAAGTAGTAATTAAACAATCATGATTCTTGCTGTGTGGATCGAACCATGTATAGCAGAATCACCTCAAAGGCTTTTTAGTTTTTTTTCAAAATAGTTTCCCAAGCCAATAACTCAGACTCAGGAGGGGCTCCTCTGTGGAAACTGTGACATTTACCAAGCTGGTCCTTAGGTACACTAAAGTTTGAACATGTCTCTGGTCGGTTCTCCAGGAAGCAGATTCTGAGATGGGCTTAGTATGCAGGAAATTTATTAGATCAACATTTGTGCAACAGTGAAGTAATCAGGATTGGACAGACAGCCATAATAAAGGCTGCAATGGATTTCTGCAGACTTGTTCCCCAAGTCTGGGCAAGGGGACTGGGCTCTAACCTCTTCATTGACCTGTAATTGGAAGCAGGCTGCTACTAGAAAGGGGACACGACCTTGGTTGAGCCTGTTCTCTTTGACTAAGGGCACAGCAGCAGGGGAATAAATGCTTCATTCTGGAAGGGGGTGGATCTGGGCTATGCATTGAAGCATGTACTACAAAGGCCAGTTGCCGTGTGAATAGTTTGGAGGTTAAAGAACATCAGAAAATTGGAGGAGAGAGAGATGATGGGAGGGAAAGAAGGAGGGATAGAAGAAATGTGGGAGACAAAGTGGGAGGGACGAAGGGCGGAAGAAAGGACGTTACAAGCAGTAAAATGACAGAGACTTTGCTTTTGTGTGTGTATAATAATTGCGGGCTTTAAGGCATACAAAACTTTTATCATTAAAGACTGCATTCTCTGAGCATTGTCAGTTTAGTGAGAGGTCAAAAAAGACTGATTTAGTAAATGAGTGAATGATGTATCTTAAATAAATATGATCCTTTTAATCTCTAGGAGGAACATGGAGAGAAGGGGCAGTTAACCTGAGTGGTGCTATTTTATACATCTCAGAAGGTGTACAAAAAATGAAACCCAGATACTCTATGTTTACTGCTTAAAACAAGATTTTGTACCTAAAAATAGCACAATTTTATTTGTTCTTACTAGACACTAACTCTGAATGGGTATAGGGTAGAGAATATATATAATATTATCTCACTTACCTTATAGTTTCTTTATCTGGTTATTTTATTTCTTAGATGCCTGAAATGTGCTGATGCCCCCTGTCAGAAGAGCTGTCCAACTAATCTAGATATCAAATCATTCATCACAAGTATTGCAAACAAGGTAAATTCATATTTAGCTCTGCAAATAAAATTAACAGCATTTGATCTTGATGTCTATCTACTATGACCTGTCTTGGTAAATTGGGTTAAAGTATTAGAAATGTGATTTCTATAGGCATGTGAAAATGTAGCACATTTTATTAATTAGCCTCTTCCAAGTTTTGATATAATTATTGTAAAAATGCATGTTTATTGTTTATTGATTTAAAAAATTAGTTTGTGTTGAAATAAATGATTTTTTCATGCAAGGCACTCACTGAATAGATTGACTCTAGCTTAAGCTTGGTAAATGCTTATAGATAGGAACTGTCATTGATTATCAAAACACATTTCAAATTTATTAAATATCTGCTTTAAAATATGTTTTGGTATGAAGCCTGGCTCACTGAGACACGTCAAGGAATTGGACTTTTCCCTGGGGGCTAAAATTCAAATAATTTTATTTAAGATTCGGAATAATTCATACACAGTAGATAGACTTATAACCAAAAAACCCCAACACCAAAATATAGAAAACAGGCTTTTGTGAGCATAAGTAGAACAAAAGGAGTTTTAACTTTTTTTTTTAAACCAATGTAAGACTAAGCACAGTTTTTCATTCACTTAGTGAATTTTTGATTAATTAAATGATTAATTAATAGTATCTTTTCTTTGTGAAACGAGTATTTGTGAGCTCTTCGCCAAGTGTCTGATGCTTTATCAAATGAGCAGGAGATGAAGGAGGTCTTCCTATAAGGATGTAGAGAATTCTTTGTTTCACAAGGTTTGACATTTATGTTCTAAAATGCTGTAAAAATCCAATAAATGCTCCTTCAACAACCAGGTACCTTTTTTATAAACATCATTTCTCAATGTCAATTATTTTTAAAAAAGTATTTCAAGAGAAAAATGGTACATTTATATAGTTTTAAGATTTCAAAAGAAAGATTAAAACTTAGGTATACAGTATGATATTAATCTACATGGTCATCTTTATTAGGATTTTAAATGTAGGTTAAATTTTAGATTGACCACTTATTGTGAACCCAGGAAAAATTGCTTATTTATGGAAGAAAGACAGCATCTGTCCTACAAGGTTTTGGTGTAAACTAAATACTTGTATGTGAAAATCTCAAACATATTATTATTTAGAAAATAATAATTTATTATTATTTAAAAAATAATAATTTATTATTATTTAAAAATATTTTGTTGATATGGAATTATTAATTATCCTATTCATTCAATATGGCAAATGGTATACAAGGGATTACTATTTTTATAGCTGTTATATTTATTGAGTAGCTGCTATGTACCAAACACAGTGACAGGTATTGCGTCCCTGCTATGGCCCAGCCTTTTAGAAGTTCATAATTTATAAGCAAAAGCAGGTACATAAAAAATTAAAAAAACCACTCTAACTATAATTGAATGTGGTTAGTGCTGCAACCTATGCAATCTAGAAAGTGTATTCAGCATGCACAAAAGCAGGAATGTATATATGTGGTAAGTTTAGGCAGATGTAATAAATTCATTGTGGCTATAAAAGGGCCTAGATTACATAAAAAAGAGTGATGGGAAAGAGACAAGGCAATTAGATTGGGATTCACTTGTGAAAATATATTAATTCTATGCTCAATATTTGAGACTTAATCCTAGACATAGAGGAAATTATCAATGCTTTATATTTGTTTTGTAATTAGGAAGAAGAATTCTAGAAAGTGATCTCATTTATTAACTTCATGGTATACCACACATCTATCACCACAAGACCTTTGTCTTATATGTGAAAATAAATAATTTACGTGAAACTTATATGTGAAACCTTCTTTGTTTAATAATGACTTCACAGAAAAGGAGTGAAACAAAATGTCCAGAGTTTGAAGTCTAATGTGTTTTGGCTAAAATTATTTCCAAGGTACCAGCCTTGACTTTAAGCATGAGACAATATTACAATTATGATCCATGCTGGCTGGATGTTCCCTAGATATTCCAAAATTCATTATTGATATTGTGATTCTCATTAGCATATACTCCATTCATTCAAGGTTTATGCAATTTTATAGGAAAAAAAAAGACAAATGGAATAATGGTATTCTTTGAGAAGTTTGTAACATGTCTAAGTAAGATCAGAAGCCTATTTTAGAAAAACTTTCTGTTTCATTAATTTGTTTTCTTTATTGCCTAATGAAGTGTTATACTTAGCTATTTATTTAAACAGATTTTATATGAAGATAAAATATTTGGAGACTTTTAATTGAAAATGTGATTTTTCTATAGACATTTAGGGAATTCTATCGTTAAGTAGTGTTTTGTTGAAGAATCACTGTAGTAATCATAAAAGGTCAGATATTCTTGTTCTTTAAAGCCTTCAGCTTTTTAGGTATTTACCAGCTGTGTACAATGTAGGCTGTCCCACACTGCTCTGCCAGTGGACCTCAACTCAGGAGGGGGGTTCTTTCCAGGTTGAGAGGGTAATTGAATCGCCAGACTCAATGAGCCTTGTGCCTCTTTGAGAAAAGGATGTCACTTGTATTGTATTGTGTTAGGTTTCTGTGATTCAGTGGAGTTTAGGCCAATACTTCCATTCTTTATTTTCTTACAAACTGGATTACAGCTCTAGTTTTCAAAGGTACAGTCAATTCCATTGTACCTCCTCAGTCAGTTTTTCTCTGTTTCATTCATGCAGGCTGTTGTCCTCAATTGTATCTCTCAATCGGAAGTACACGTTTCAGAGTCATCAAACTGTGAATACTGGGTTATATTTCTTGATAGCTTCCCTTTGGAAAAAAAAAAACAAACAGCACTTTATATCAGAATGCATGAGGCCAATCTATAAATGTAATGAAAAAGAATGACTGTTTTTAAAAATGTTCTTTTGTTTCATAATGCTTTATTTTAAACAATAGAGGTACTTTCTCTTTTCAAAATTTTCAATACAATTGTAAAGCATTGATTTTTCCACCTCTTTGCATATTTTATGGAGTCTGTGTGCCCAGATTTGTGTGGCTTTTATACCTAGATAAAAAAATTTAGTAACACATATTACAGAAAAGCTGACTAAATGAATCAATGTAAAATAAAAATCTCTTCTTTATCATAGAACTCTACTGAAAGTAACTAGAAGTCAGAGGAGCAACAAAATTTAACCAGCAGAATTCATTTGATAAATGCTATTGACAACAATATTTTAATTTAAAATACTGATATATGTGCGTGTATGTGTGTGTGTGTATACTCACATATACACACACATGCATGTGCCTGATGCAAGTGTTACAAAACAGAAGTGCAGTCAGTAGATTTACTTCATCCTCCTTTTGAGTTTGCTTTTCAATTGCAGTGGCTAAGTGGTTTAATACCTTTATCAAGTAAAATGTTGATCACTTCCAGAATAATCTTCTAAAAGCATAGCTCTAATTATATTACTCTCTTGTTCAAAAAAAAACAGTAGTGGCTTCATAGGTCCTAGAAACTAATGTCCAAACACATAACTTATTATGTAAGACCATTAGGCTTTCTCCCACTATTATGACAGAGAAATAAGGAGATGAAAAAATATTAGGAAGTCCATAACTTAATATGCAATAGTGTTTGAAAATATGAATATTTTAGATGTGTAAAATAAAAAGGTAGAGATAAGGTTTCCTTCAGTACCCAAGGTTAGTTCCCTCGCTTGTTTTGCTAGATGATAACTGTGAGCACCTCTGTTCATTCTAAGAGGACTGTCAGAAACTTACCTGCCTGCTGCCATAAAATGACACTCAAGAGAACACAGCTTTTAAAAACTCTGTTATGCTCTAGAGAGTAAGCAAGCCATTATCCTGCAGAGTTGGATATGCCAATTGGTTGAAATAAATAGTTCTGAATTCATGTGTCCATTTCCTTTACAGTTAAGATGCCAATATTTGAATAATGTGAAAAACGTATTTTTCTAGGACTGAATATATTCAAATTTTTACGACTACTTTATGGCATGGGTTTGTATCATTTAGGGTACTCATCTGAGTGGGTCTTCCAGCACAAAGTACTATACTTCAAATAAGCTTGTCCCTAAGTCATAAAACAATGTTTTCTGTATATCAATTTTATCCTTTTACAACTCCAAGACATAGTATTGTTAATGCTTTATTAGTCAATGTTTGATTAGCTTTATTCACATTTTTCCTAATTTTCTTCATTTTTTTCTTTTTCTAATCTTTTTATTTTCCATATTGGAATTTCCATTGGAAAGTAGTTTACTTTTGCTTGCACTGATGCTATTGAAAAATTAATAGAAACTTAATTATTTCTCATTTGATATTACATGTCTTTTGTAATATCTGTCTTTGAACCTTAATTATTGCTCATTTGGTGCTTTAAAGATCTTTTTATTTTCATTGTTCAACTAAACAGTGATTTATCTAAGTTGGATTTCTTTTTATTTATCCTGCCTGGTTTGCCCTGGTGTTCTTGAATCTATGCATTGATGACTTTCCTCATTTGGGGGATTTTCTCTTTCACCATCATTTCCTTATGGAACTCTTATTAGATACATGTTAAACCTTCTTACTCTGTTCTCCATGGCGGTTAACTTATCCTCTTTATTTTGCATTTTTAAAAACTCTGCTAGCTTTTAAATCATTTTCTAAGCCTGTCATTTCTTTAAATATATAAAAATACTCATTTTTCATACTCTGGGAGTTCCACTAAAGTTTCTATCAGTCTGATTATACTGTTTGTAGTTCTGCTGGTTCCACTCATCATGCTTTGTTTCTTCATATGTTTATTTATTTATTTTTTACTTTGCTGGTTTTCTTTGAAGCTTTATCTGTGGAAATTCTGTGAGGATCGCAATGAATACATTTTCTTTACCAGGGATTTATATTTGCTATGTTCTCAGAGGACCTGGAAATAGGATCCAGTGTTCACCTGGTTTAGCAAATGCCTTTAAGATGATTCCACTTATTTTTCTGTCTTATTGCCTTGTCATTTTCAGTCCTTGGACATGACAGATCATGAGTACATTCATGGTCACTTTTT